TCATCGATATGTCTCTCATCCCATTTTCTGAGTTTCAGGTCTTGTAGGTCGTGGGTTAGATGGACTCCTAGGTATTTTCTTTGTGTTGTTACCATCATTGTCCATGGGGTTGTCTTCTTCCTTTCTCATTCGGATAGTTTGTTGTGAGTGTACAGAATGGCAACCGATTTCTGTAGTATCGATGAGGTTTGTACCCTGCAATTGAACTGAGTTTCCTGAGTTTTGTTTTGTTTTCTTTTGGTGGGGGATTGCCTTCAGCATTTTCTGTGTAGAGAATCGGGTCAACTGGCATCTTTCCTCTGCCATCTGATACTCTTCTTTCTTCTTTCCATGCCGTTATTATGGCGAGGACTTTCTCCGCATTTGTGCTCCGCCTTGGTGGGCTCCAGGTCCTCCAGCTGACTAGGGGGGAAGCTTGGCATGGTGCTCCAGGTCAGAGCTGGCAGTGCTGAGCTCTCTTCATAGCCCAGGATTGGGCCCCATGGACCTCTGGGACCTGGTTCCGGACAACCCTCCATTGGCCCTCATTTTCATGGTCTAAGAAAACTCCTTAGCTCCAGCAATCATATCTGCATTCCAGGAGACAAGAAGAAGGAAGAGGTGAAGAAGAGCACACGCCCTTCCTTTAAGTATGCTTCCCAGAAATTGCACATGATATTTTAGAAGGTAGTCACATAGCCACACCCAGCTACATGGGAGGTTGAAAAATATGGTCTCTATTTAGAAGGCCATATGTGCAGCTAAAAACCAAGAGTTTATTACCAAGGAAGGAGGGAAACTAGCTGTGACATGTATTTGACAGGTAAAGAAACTAAGGTTTAAAGAAGTTCAGCAATTTATTCAAGGACACCCAGGCAGTATGTAGTGGTGCTAGGATTCAAATCAGGTGGTCTGATCCTAAAGCCTGTACTTTTTTTTTAATGTTTATAGAGCACATTTTATTTTATATAATTGAATCCCATTGATATAATAACAATGCATTGCTGTTCTTTTCTGGGTGAAATATACAAAGTTCACAAAATTTCTCTCCCCTTGGTGCATATCATACTTTTTTTGGTTTTTAAAAAAATTTTTTTAACTTTTCATTTTATATTGGATCATAGTTTATTAACAATGTTGTGTTAGTTTCTGGTGTACAGCAAAGTGATTCAGTTATACATATACATGTATCTATTCTTTTCAAATTCTCTTCCCATTTAGGTAGTTACATAATATTGAGCAAAGTTCCCTGTGCTATACAATAGGTCCTTGTTGGTTATCCATTTTAAATATAGCAGTGTGTACATGTCAATCCCAAACTTGCTAACTATCCCTTGCCCCCACCCTTCCCCCGGAAACCATAAGTTCGTTCTCTATGTCTGTGAGTCTGTTTCTGTATTGTAAATAAGTTCATTTCTATAATTTTTTTTAGATTCCACATATAAGCAATATCATACGATATTTGTCTTTCTCTGTCTGACTTACTTCACTCAGTATGACAATCTCTAGGTCCATCAGTGTTGCTGCAAATGGCATTATTTCATTCTTTTTAATGGCTGAGTAATATTCTATTGCATATATGTACCACATCTTCCTAAAGCCTGTACTTTTAACTGTTTTGCCGTACAGATTCAGAGAAGTTCAATAACTTGATGAGGTCACAGAATTGGCAAGTGCAGATCTGTCTGGCACCAAAACTCATCTTTTTGCCATATTTACCCCAAGCCATCTATTTTACTCTGGTGGGCGATCAGGAGAGTGAAAAATATAAACCTCACTGTTCAACCTGAAGATTCCTGATAGAGGTTTATTAAGATATCTAAATAAAGTACGTCAAGTGTTTTTTAAACACAGGATAACAATGAGTGCTTGAAGGACAGCAAATGAACCAAGATGACAGATAATCAGAACTAGAGCTATTAAGAAACATATGCTGTAGAACCTGCTTGCTTTCTGAACTGGGAATAAAGAACCAGTAAGGTACAGGTTGTGAAATGCTATTAAAAAATCAGTATTGAAGTTTGCAATCTTGAACAGAATGCTAAGTACTAAGTTTATTTTGTTTTTCTCACTAATCTCCTAGATTCCTAGCCCCACTCTAACCAGTCAGTAGGTTATTATCAGTCCCTTCCACTCACATCTGGCTGTGGGATGGGGTGAGGCCCAGAGTAAGCCCAGGTCTTAAGGTTCCGCTGAGCTCACCCAAGGTCTAAGAAAACAGACTCCAGTGCCTGCCTTGACTCACCCCATTTCTTTTCTTTCTTTTTCAACTCTTTCTTCATTGTGGATTATCCTAAAGCTGAGTTAATTGAGGCCTGAATAAAGAAGGTCATATTATAATTATAACTTCAGGACAAGTTTGCAATTCAACCTGAGCTCCTTTTCATGTTGCTCACAGAGAATACACTCATGGAGAGGGTATCAGTGGAATTGCAGTTTGATAACCAAACAGAAACACAATTGAAGCTGTGGTGACTAATACACAGCCACCCAAAGATAATCCACTGTGGTTTGAATCCATCACATACACACACACACACACACACACACACACACACACACACACACTCACACACACACAGAGAAAAGGTTGGGTTCCAGCAGCTGGAGTAATTTTAGCTCTATCTAATGGTGTATGTTTGAATTACTGAAGTTAGAAAACTCATGGTTGGGGCTTCCCTGGTGGCGCAGTGGTTGAGAGTCCGCCTGCCGATGCAGGAGACACGGGTTCGTGCCCCGGTCCAGGAAGACCCCACATGCCGTGGAGCGGCTGGGCCCGTGAGCCATGGCCGCTGAGCCTGTGCATCTGGAGCCTGTGCTCCGCAACGGGAGAGGCCACAACAGTGAGAGGCCCGCATACCGCAAAAAAAAAACAACTCATGGTTGGAACTTGGGCCCCATTGGGAGCTGCCATCTGTCCCCCTCCTTTACCTCTGGAAGCTTCCTCACTGGCATGCAGCAGATCCCTATTTCTAAGAGCTCCCTCTTCACCCTGCCCTGGAACCCCAAAAATAACCTCTGCTGATACCTTCCCTTGACACACACACACACACACACACACACACACACACACACACACACGTGCAGGAATAACTCCAGCCTCTGCTTTTGTCCTCCACTTTGAACTTTTTCCAGGCTGTGGCGCCTCTCCACTGGTCTTTCTATAGCGGCACATCTGAATTCTTTCTGTCTACAATAAGGTTAACAGATGCCTATTGTGAGAATACCAGATTGCATTTAATTTTAAAAATTTAATTGAACACTTTATTTTGAGGTATTTTCACATGCTGTGGTAACAAATAATACAGGTAGATACCATGAGCTCTTTGCCCAGTTCTCCCCAGTGGTAATATCTTGCAAAACTATGGTACAATATCAGAGTCAGGATATTGACATTGGTCTAATCCCCAGATCTTATTCATGTTTCCTTCATCGTGTGTGTGTGTGTGTGTGTGTGTGTGTGTGTGTGTGTGAGTTCTTTGCTATTTTATCACATGTGGAGGTTTGTTTGTCAATCAGTATCTCTTGTGTTGCCCCTGACATCTAACCCCCCACATCTTCTTCTTGCTCCCTCCTCCACCCCCCAGCCCTAACCGCTGGCAACCTGTTCTCTATTGCTATATTTTTGTTGTTTTAAGAATGATATATAAATGAATCATAACCTATGTAACCTTTTGGGACTGGCTTTTTTGACTCAGCCTAATTCCCTTGAGATCCATCCAAATTTTTGCATATATTAATAAGTTGTTCCTTTTTATGCTGGGTTGTATTCCAAGGTATGGATGTACCATAGTTAATTTAACCATTTACCCACTGACGCACATCTGGGTTGTTTTCAGTTTGAAGCTATTATGAATAAAGCTGCTATGAATACTCATATACAGGTTTTTCTGTAAAGTTAAAACATAAGTTTTTATTCTCTGGGATAATTGCCCAAGAGTGCAGTTGCTGGGTCATGTGGTAGTTGCATGTTTAGCTTTGTAAGAAACTACCAAAATGTTCTCCACCAGCAATGTATGAGTGATTCAGTTTCTGTACATCTTGGCCAGCAGTTGATATTGTCACTACGGTACTTCCTATTTTAGTCATTCTGATGGGTGTGTAGTGAAATCTCATTGTGGTAATTTAAGTTTTTAAATCTATCTTTATATTTCAACTTTTAATTGTAAACTGGTTTGTGCAGCTTTCATGTATTGTTTTCTTCCCTAATACATTATTTTATTTTTTCCTAATATATTATTTTTTTCCTAATACATTATTTTATTTTCTTACTTCTTTTTTTTAATTGAACTATAGTTGCTATACAGTATTATATAAGTTATAGGTATACAATACAATGATTTGCAATTTTTAAAGGTTATACTCCATTTATAGTTATAGAATATTGGCTATATTCCATGTTGTACAGTATATCCTTGTAGCTTATTTATTTTATACATAGTAGTTTGTACCTCTTAATCCCCTACCCCTACCTTGCCCCTCCCCACTTCCTTCTCCCTACTGGTAACCACTAGTTTGTTCTCTATATCTGTGAGTCTGCTTCTTTTTTGTTATATTTACTAGTTTGTTGTAGTTTTTTAGATTCTACATATAAGTGATTTCATACTGTGTCTTTCTCTGTCTTGTGTATTATTTGTCAGAAGCTTCTTTACTATTAAACAACTGTGTGGAGTGTTGGAAAAATTCCAATTTTCCACCAAATTTCTGCTAGTATTCACGTAATTCCATTTCACTTGTCAATCCACCCTTTTATTCAATATGCTTAGAATTCTATCACTGTCTGCTTTTGATAGATGACTTGATGCACAATGTTGAAAAATCTTCAGTAATTGTCAACTCAAAAGTTAACGTGACATATACTGCATGAATAGTGTAGTTAACGGGCTATTCTCGCCTTCATGGGTCCATTATAAAGGGAATTGCTTTGTCCAAGTACCAATTATGTTTCTATATTCATAAAATATTTTTCTAATCAAAAAATTAAACTATGAAAAATAGACATCTGACTATATCTCTTCCAGCCCTTCCAGAATGAGAATTCATTCAGCCTCTCTGCCCAGTTCTGATCTGTAAGCTTCCACCTCGATTCCTCAATTCCGCGTAGCCCAGGTCCCACACCAGCTTTCCGGCCATCATACTCGCCCCTGGGGAAAAATGAGAGGTAAGAGGGGAAACTCCGTGTCCAAGTTTTTATTTGTCTGGGAGGGAAATCGATGTTTTTAGCAGACAACTTGAATGTTCACTTTGAAAAAAATAGAGACCCAGTTGCTTGGATACAGCCAGAAATGCATATCATTGAATCTACAGACGACCCGTAGTCATTTTGTCCTTATTTGAGTGTCTAATGTGTTAAGGGGGAAAATGAGACAGCTCTAACACATAACTCACACCTGCTTGGGCTTTCTCTGTTGGTCCTCTGGGTGTGTGTGTATGCATCACACACCCACACATAAGTGTGTAATGAATTGCTTAGTATAAAACCCTGCAACAAACATCAATTCTGTAGATTACCGGGGAGGCCTAATCGGGTTCACTAGCAAAGCAACTTCTATAAAGACTATATATAGTAGGCACATGCCTCCGTAGGCAGTGCAGCTATTTGTTTTTTTAATAGGGGATTCTCATGTTACAAGGGCATCACAGATTACTGAATAATTTATTTAATGGTAGATTATATGGGCTTCACTCTTTGCCAATGAGCTCATACCCAAATGTCTAAAGGAGATAAGGTGAGCAAAAGCTAGAGCTCAGGCTTGGGTGAGCTGTTGTTTTTTTTTTTTTTTAAGATATGCATAACTGTTAGAGCCATATATACGTATTTTACTTAATAATATCTCAGCTGCATTGTCATATACATAATCGAGGCACCACTTCATTACTGACATTTAGCTAACTCGTAGCAATGCATACAACACATGGCGCTGAGAGATACAGAATAGAATAATAAATGACCTTGTCTGTAGTTGGTGATTTTAACAAAGGACTGTGATCTATAAGGGTATGTCTGTTCTCTATGAAAATATAGGGAAACAGAGGGAGCAAAATTCAATGAAAGGATGTTAGATTTGGAAAATGGAGACAAGAAAAATAGATCTGGATAGGTATCTTTCTGTGAACCTCTATTGTTATCTTTTCAATGATTTGAAATACAAAAAACAATCACTTCCAAGCTTATAGAACTTAAGACATTTTGCCTTGAACGGTATATAGTCCTCAGGTAAGCAGAAGTACCTTGGAACATGGATATACTTTTGTGTCAAGCAAAATTTTGATGAAGATAAATAATTTATTTTAAAAAATTTTAAATTTGACAATAAAGATGGCAAAAGATTTGAACAGGCACATCACGTAGAAGGAAATCCACATGGCCAATAACTGTGGCAAGAGGTGCCTTATTTTTTTTAGTAGTCGGAAATGCAGATTAAACCCAGATGAATATAGAAACATAATTGGTACTTGGACAATGAGATATCCCTATACACCCACCTGACAGTTAAAATTTTAAAGTTTGACAATAATAAGCGCTAATGAGGACAGAGAATAATGGGAACTACCGATAGTGGAACTTTGGATTGAAGCCATGATTTTGGAAAATAGTCACCATTGTCTACTGAGGTTGAAGATTCATACAACCTGTTCACAAGTGAAGAAATGCCACTGTGGGAAAATGCCCTGGAGGTAGATGTATATATGTATCCTGTGCACCAGAGTATATACAAGAATGTCTAGAGAAACACTGTTCCTAATAGCCCCAACCTGGAGACCAGGTTGTCTGCCCAACATAGAAAGGATAAGTGAGAACTAGAGCCACTTGCAATAGCAGGGATGAATTTCACAGACAGAATGTTGAGCAAAAGAAGCAAGACACATTTGGTAGAAAGCTCATAAACAAACAGGCAAAACTCAGTCTGTTGTTTAGGGATGCATAGAGAGAGGGTAAAACTATAAAGAAAAGCAAGGAAATCATTATAAGAAAGGTTAGGATGGCGGTTACTTTTAGAGGAAAGGAAGGATTGTGATAGCAAAGAATACGCGAGACTTCTGGGCACTGGAAACGTTGTATTTCTTGACCCGGCTATGGTTTCATGGGTTTTCACTTTACAGTTATTCACTAAACTGGATATTAATTTTTAATGCACTTTTGTGTATGTATGTTATATTTCACACACACCTGCACACATGTACACAAACTATTAAATACTAAAAGATTGAGATTTGAAAAAAGAAACTTCCTAGTTCAATTTAGTTCCTTTAAAAAATGAACATGTTCAGTTGAATGAACACTTAAAACAATAAGCGAAATCTTATGTGTAGTTTCACATGAGAATTCTACAATGTAGTGCTGGAAAGACAGCCCGAGGAGAGGAAGAGCCCTTTTCCAGCAATCCCTGACCCTCAGCAGCTGTTTCCCTGGGCAATTCTTTGGGCCTCGATCCTCATCTGTAAAGACGATCAGACCCAATTAGAACTCCTCGAAAGTCTCTGGTGTATTCTTGGGAGTTCTCTGTGGGAACTTTAATTTTTTTTAAATAAGAAATTCTTACCGTTTTGATGAGAATCTAAAGAACATGCACGTCACCTGGGTCCTCTGTGTGTCCACTTTAGAGCTGACAGTGCCAGGATCACTCTGTGATTATGATTACGTTGGGGTCCTGATGTGCTGTTTCAATTGTCTCAGGCCACTAAGGTGAAAGCACAGGTGACCCTCAAGAGTAGAGCCTGCGTTTGCCAAGTGACCTCATGGAAGGCTCACAACCAGAGTTTTCACAGGAGTTTGAAGAGACCATGTTGTATGAGATGTGAGTTAGGGGACGATGCCTAACCCCAAAAGTGACTCGGTACCCAGTGACAAAGTGAGGGGCAATTTACTCCGCAAAATCACGCCATCTGTCTTGTTAAAGTAGTGCTGTTAACTTAAGATTTATTGGTTTGCCGTTTGGTTGTCAAAATCGTGACGCTCTTTTGATTTTATAGTTGTAGAAGTTACAAGCCTGTGGGATGCATGCCCAGTTTCATGCTTGTACATATTTAACTAACGATCTTATAAAAGTAATTTACATCAACACTGGAAATCCTCAAACATTTTTTTTTCTTGAGAAAGCACCACATGTCGCTGGAATTTGAGCCACGCTGAACCCCGTGACCTTCACTAACCCTCCTGTGATTCTGTTCCCATTTTGGAAGTCAAGCCCTTTCCAAAGCAAGTGGGAGGGTGTGTCCCTGGTGCAACCTGGAAGCCCAACACCCTCATCTCTAGTCGTGACTCTCTACTGCAGGTGATTTTTCCTCCAGGGGACATTTGACAGTGTCAGGAGACCTTTTTGGTTGTCACAGCTAGAGGCAGGGCCTAGTCAGCAGAGGCCAGGGATGCTGCTAAACATCCTACAATGCACAGGACAGCCCTCCAGAGCAAAGAACTCTCCAGGCCATAATGCCAGTGGTGCCCAGGGTGAGAACCCCTGGTTCTGCTCCCTAGAGCTTTTACTGCTCTGTGTTTGTTCCCAGTTTATCAGGATAAGGCAGTAGTTTTCTTTTATAACTTACCTTTCCTGTTTCCTTCCACGCAGGAGTAAAAATAAGCAAAACAGTGCCTCAGGTGTGAGGTCAGTGGCCTGACCGGCTTGATTTAAGAGTGGAGGTTTGGAGGGGGTCAGCCTTTTTACTGTTGTTGAGGCCACCTTATTCCTGGTCCTCTTCTATGGGGTCCTGGTCCACCACCTACATAGAGTGATCTTGCTTTGCAGGGACCTGATCCCTGATGTTTGTAGCTGGTCTCTAGAGGGACTGTGCTCCAAAGTGATTCCCAGAGGAGCCAACATCACTTCCAGAATAAAACACTGGAAATAATATTTGAGAGCTTCCAACAGATCTGAGGAATCTGGATCAATCTCCAAGGTTGATCTCAGGGTCCCCGTAGTTGTGTTTGTCTACGTGCCTGTAACAGCTGCTGGGGGATGTCTGCCCCGTGGCTATCTATCCCCGCGTAATTCTTATATTTGTTCATACAGAATCTGCTGGCTGTTCCTGGTCCTGTCTCACCTCCCCCCTCAGATATTTAAATCCTTGGGAATAGAGACTTCTGTGTCTTTTGCGGTCACTGGTGCACCCACCCCCCAGCATGCTCAGCACGGTGGCTGGCTCTGTGGTGGTCACACTGTCAGCAAGCTAGGGAAAAAGACCATGTTAAAAACAGGCCAGGGCTTCCCTGGTGGCGCAGTGGTTGCGAGTCCGCCTGCCGATGCAGGGGGCGTGGGTTCGTGCCCCGGTCCGGGAGGATCCCACATGCCGCGGGGCGGCTGGGCCCGTGAGCCATGGCCGCTGAGCCTGCGCGTCCGGAGCCTGTGCTCCATGGCGGGAGGGGCCGCAGCGGTGAGGGGGCCGCGTACCGCAAAAAAAAAAAAACAAACAGGCCAGCTGGGATTATGAGTGACGGTTTCTTGAACACTGTGCCCATCCTCTTCAGTCCTTCTTCTTGCCCATTTGTCGTTCTAGTGACCAGTGTCCAGTCACAAGCAGCCTCTTAATTTTGAAAGCCTTCAAATCTACAGCTTTCTCCTGACAAGGGAACAGCCCTTGGTCTCCGGGCCCAAACAAGTGGATGTGCTGTCACTCACCGGGCCTGGCAGGCTGCCCAAGGTAGAGATGGGCAGGGCTTCTGAGCACCCCTCCGTCTCTACCCTGTCTGGCCTCCTCCCCAGCGCACTCCCCCAGGGTCACAGAGACCGCTGTGGACAGGACTTCATCCAGCCCTGACAACCTCTGATGTAAAGCAGCTGACTGGATGCCTCACATCCTGCCTAAAACCACCCCCCTTTCCTCCCCACCCCCATCCCTTTTTAAAAAGAAAAAACAATTCCTCTGTCTAACGTATAGTCTTTCGAAAATACAGTGGAGGCACCATGGCTTTAGCAAAACATGGATGCTCCTGTGGTGTGGCAAACAGGGCCTTTGTTTCCTGGCTAGTACTTTAGGGGTCTGCTCAGATCCCACAGCTGAGAGGAGGCTAGAGCTGCCAGGGGTCACTGACAAAACCGAGGGGCACAGACATCTCCACTTGGCACACAGCCCGCAGACTCTCCCCATGGGCTCTTTGGTTGACACCCCTCCCCCTCCTCCAGGTGCCCTCCTCCTGGGTCCTGCACAGCTGGACCCACACCTGCATGGCTCAAGGTGGCTCACTGCAAAAGAAATGCAAACCATAGTTAAGGAAGGAAGCAAAATTGAAGGCCAGAGAAACTGAGCACTGGGGGTAAGGGAAAGAGGCTGGACCACAGAAAGGAAGGCCCATCATGGAGTCAGAGGTCAGAAGTGTGACAAGCACAGCAAGTCATGTTGTAGGAGACAGGTTAGTGGCAAGGGGTCAGGTAAAGTCCATGAGCAATGCCAGGCTGAGGCCTCTCTTGTGGGATCTTGACGTTTTAGGTTTGGGGTAGAGCGAAGAGACGTGATGGCATAGGGATGACTAGGCAAGACTTGACAATCCTTCTGTCCATTTCAGACAGATTTTTTTTTTTTTTTTTTTTTTTGCGGTACACGGGCCTCTCACTGTTGTGGCCTCTCCCGTTGCGGAGCACAGGCTCCGGACGTGCAGGCTCAGCAGCCATGGCTCACGGGCCCAGCCACTCCGCAGCATGTGGGATCCTCCCGGACCGGGACACGAACCCGTGTCCCCTGCATCGGCAGACGGACTCTCAACCACTGCGCCACCAGGGAAGCCCTCAACCAGATTTTAAATCTATTACGTCCAGACTTGGGGGAAAGGGAAGGAGTAGTTGTGATTTTCCCCTGACTTTACCCCAACACAATGATGACCTGGAGCCCAATGTATGACTCTGAAAGGGCAAGCCAGGCTCCGTCGTAGCCAAAGCATAGCAAGCCCCCAGCTCAGTGGTGGAGAAGAGCTAAATGTGGTCCATCCACCTGGTGTGAGCCAGAACCTAATTTTAGCCTCCCATGAGCATATGCAAAGTGGGTCACCAGCTGCCCTGTCAGCCTCACCCAGGGCCACTTCTGTTCTACACCCTGCACCTGTGGGGATGTGCATGTCTCAGTGCTCACCGGCCAGTTCTGAGGCTGAGAACATCCTGGACTCACCCAGGCCTCCTTATTCCCTTGGCAACAGCCAGCTCCTTCCTCCCCTCCCACCCCAGAAGCAAAACCACACTTCCTGCACTTCTGCCCTGGCAGGTGGACCCCATGGGGGTAGGGGCCTCATGGAGGAGGTCTGTGCCCTGAGTTATAAGCAGGGAGAAGGACAGTGAGCCCACTTTCCTCTGTGAGATGGGATACGATCAGGTCAGGAACCCATGGTTCAGTGTGCAGAGCATCCTGGCTCCTCTTTTCCCCTTCCTCTGGCTGCTGGCATTTTGTTCTTGTCATGGTTGATTAGCTCCCTAAGCA